GAATCCTTATCGGAGAAACGTCATCCCGACCCCCTGTCACTTGGATGGTCCCGACTGTCTCATCACAGCGGGCCTTCTTGGCCGCCTCCGCTCTGGAACTCTCGGCCACCGCCTCCCGCTGACGCTTCGAGAGAAGCGAGCTACTCGGGGATAGCAAAGGTGCCCCCATTTGTCCGATTGTCGGACTCTGAACCGGAGCTTGAACATCGGGAACCTCAGATTCGCCACCAGCATCGAAGCTCTCACAGTCCTCCACTGGATCCTCCGAGAACAACTCCCTAGCGGTTTGGTGGCCCCTTCTCTTTGAAGAACGGAGAGAGCCCCTGATGGGACGATCGCGTTCCGCCAGACATGAGCTTTGGAACCAGAAGTTGGCGGGGTCAGCACTAGCACCCCGATACCACCGACAGTACAAGAGCGTGTGGTGTAAATCGCGGTCCTTCGCAGGCAACTCAAAACGAGCTTGAGTACCTCCAGCATGGGTCCAGAACCACCCCCGAGCGCCGTCAACCAGTCCTCCTTCAAAGTGTAGGCGAGGGTTGACGTTGCCCACATACAATTGATCATACCCAAACTGGCGGGCAAACCTGCAAGGGATGTATGGCTCGAGATAGCATGTGGAGCCTGTTCTCAGAACGTGATACCCCGGTCGAATGTCCACCAACCAGCGAAAGGCACCACGGGAAAGGATTGTGTGGTGATCCGCCGTCGGCGCATCCCTGAGAGATTCTCCATATCCACCCCCGCTGAAGTAAGGAAAAGATCGACGAAAATTATAGTGCCCGAAGTGGGAGAGCGTCTTCCTCGTATCGGGGATGTCCTTGCACTTCCAGGAGCACCTCTCCAAACGCTGGACAAAGGGGACAAACCTGTCTCCCTGAAGCGCTGCCGGGGCACTCATCAAGCATTCGCAGTGATAGACGAACCATGCCACCAAGTAGGTATACGGTAGCCCCACCCTAGGATTGGGGGTTCTGATAACTTCTCCTTCCCCCTCGTCGAGGACCGACACACGGCAGAATTGGCTCGTCAGAGTACGGAGCCCCCGATGGATGCACGCTATCGTCGCCGATACCAGGGAATAAGACTTCCCGTGAGCCAGGCAAACCGCCGGATACACGACCTCTATAGGAAGAGCCTCGAAGGAGTGAGTGGGGATTACGCACCTCTTCAGCCATAACATGAGGTACCCCGCGAGCAGCGCCTTCCCCGAAATGAGAAACTTCGCCTGATGATGGAATGAGTGAAGAACCGTACCAGACTTAAATCCGCCTTCGTCGCGGTCGAGAATCACGGTGCTTCCTTCTTTAGCTATCCTCGCCTCCACTTCGGGTTCATCACAGGCGCCTAACGGGAAAGCAGGCGTACCCTTGACATCGTTCCCCGGGAACAGATAATCAGCCCAATTCTTGTGGCTGATCCCAGGGGTCTTCTTCTTTTTCCCCTTATGATCGGAGGCCCCTAAGGTACTGAGGCATATGTGGAAGTGGCACAGTAACTCCCACAGAGTCTCAACCGCCAGAGGGGAATGGTCCGACAGCTGATTGATCTCATCTTGATCGGGGACGTACTCCTCATAAGGAAAGTCTCCCAGAGGCAGCCCCGACACGTCGTGCATCTCGAAGGGGGTGATACCAAGCTCACCATTGGGAGTGAAAAACGTGCCGCTTTCCGCACAATACAATTCCAGAATGCTATGGAATTGAGAAGCGTTGATCCGCAGGCCATGTCGAGTGGCTTCGAGGGCCACATACAGCTCTGTGCCCTTGAGGTCAGCATTCAGACACTAAGCCAGGGCGCAGACCCGTCACGCGCTTACATGAGCTCTCCACTCCATACCCAGCCGTAGAGCCCGTAAAGACGCCACAAGTGACCCCGTCCTGAGTGGGGGTCAAATCCCAGTTCATCGTCCGAGGGATCGCGAGGGACCGCAGCTCAACAATCGAAAACCCTCTCGACATGCTGGGGAGGTAGTAATGGGTCCCCTCTACCGTGCGGTACCACCGGCTCTCTTTGAGCAGCAGGGCGGAAGGGTCGGTCATGGAGTCGCCAAACAAAAATTGAGGTTTCGGCAGCTCTGCCCTGGCCTCATCTGTCAGCGCCGCGTTGGTTGTCAGCTCGCGTAGGGTCAAATGATGACCATCCGAGACCCTCTGTATCAGACCATGCGGCTTATCAGCGGTGAACACGGGTACTGGAGCCAAAGAGGGAAACCGAGAAGGTGCTGCGTAGCTCGTAGCCCCGACGTGGCCGACGGCCACACCCTCTGGAAAAGCCTCATCGGAAAAGGTCGCTGCAACAAAAAGAAAAGAAGAAGGTCAATCAAGACAAAATCCGCGGTAGGGGTAAAATCGCCCATCAAACAGAGGAGGGCGAAATCGCAAAGAGGAACCCACTTCGAATAAAGTCTGCCCCTACAGACTAGACGTCCCTCTAACAGGAAGGGGCCGGACTCGCCTTACAAAAAGGGAGTTCGCCTCCTTCCCGCTGAAGGGCTCGCCCGCGGAGACGGTAATCGTCTTCTAAGGGCAAACAGGGCAAACTTTGCCCCAAATCGGGAAGGCTACCAAGCTTAACGAGTAACGCTCGTTTCCCCAAATCCGGCGCCTGAGACCTACAAGAGAACATCCAGCAAACCCATCAACGTACCTGGGCGCGACTCCATAGCACCGGCAGGCATGCCGGCAGAAAGACGGTCGGAGTAACGTCCGGGGCCTGCACCCCTCACTTTACACCTCTTGGATTTCGGAGCCATTGCGAGAGGAAGCGGGAATTCTTTCCTTGGATGTTCCCTTTCAAGATTTGAAAGCACGGTAACTCCCAATGGAGGAAAACGGCTGATTTAGAAGGGCGGAGTTGTCCACGTGGCCACGACTGCCCTCGAAAGGCGAAAACCCTAACGGACAGGAAACGGGGCCACGATCAAATTCGACGGCCCAGATCACCCTCAGTACATCGAAGGGACCGAGATTGGCGGTTGAATCCGACGGTTGAGTCCGAGAACCACGGCCACGATACGTCGCAGGGCGAAACGCACGAAGATCGTGCTGTCTAGTCACGATCGCCACGATCCAATGTCTTAGCCGGGAAGCGCGAGGCTCTATCAGCAGAACACGTGGCTCATCTCCCGTCAGATCTGGTTCCGCCTACAAAAGGAAGGGCTTCGCCTGCAAATACTGGGCATAACCCCCACGAGTCGCGCGAAAATTGGCTCTCAAAAAAAACTAATTTCGCCTTGGCGATGCATTCGCCCTCAAAGGTAAAATTACGAACAAAGCCAAAAGAATGACCTTGCTTAAACGGTTGAAACCCACGCCCCAGATGGCTAAGGGTTAGAGCAGAAATCTTAGCATTAAGCCTAAGAGAAACTGTTCGACAACTCATCATACTGAGGAGAATAGTATGGCTAGCCCGATTCAAACGGTAATCGGTAAAGGCACATCAAACCCGTTGATAGCTGAGGATTTGCTAAAAATCCTAAGAGAAATCGAAGGCACTTGCTTCGCCAACAATTTCTTCATTCAAAGTATTCCAGACCACACGCAAGCCAGTTTAGGTCTGAAAACTTTGAAGGGGGTCTTGTAGACGGTAAAAAATACCTCTATGGGTCTACAGGAAATTTGCCTACGAGAAGAGTTCGCACGCCCAGTTCTCTGGCACGGACCTAAACCGCGTAGACGTCGACTGTACTCAAGTCCAGGTTCGCCTAACGGTCGACTCGCCAGCATGAGTCAGGGTCGATCAGGATGGCGGAAATTCGCTCTTCGCTCAACTCGCCTGCCCGAGTTCGGAGTCGAATCCGCCAGCAAGCCCCAAAACCGTCAGTACAGCTGGGTATCCACTACCCCACGTGCTGAGATGGACCTTCCCATCTCTCTCGACCCGAAGGGAGAGAGAGCACAGTACCCCAGGACCGTCAAACGGCCGCTCGCAGTGCGCACAGCGCGAAGGGACTGGACAGGTGTCGAGTCAACCTGAGCATTCATAAATGCGACTCACCTCGGATGTCTGAGCCAAGAGCTGGATCCGCCGGCACTCGGCAAGCTGGCTAGACCCACTCGAGTACTGTGTACCTACTTCACCGCCTCTCTTGGCCGGAAAGGAGAAAGCATCGTGCTCAAAGCACGCCGGGCGGTCACGCACAGTACAAGTGATCGGACAGACACTTCATCGATCTGCGAACTCATAAATGCGGTTCATTAATGCTGGTCAAATCCACTCGGATAGCAGTCGGTTGTTGCCTCACATACTAGAATGGGCCTTCCCATCGTAGGTGACAGGACATAGAACACAATCCCTGAAATGACCGTTCATGGTATCGAGGAACGGCGAGACGTCTCTGAAGAGGATGTGGTCACATCCCACAATTCAAGGAGAAGTCAAGTTGTCCTTCTTTCATTTAAAAACCCCTTCCAGCACGATGGAAGAGAGGTCGCAAAACTTGGAGGAAAAAGAGTTGAGACCAAGCTGTTAGCAAATCCTTGCATTACAGCACATCTGCCTAGTTCTGGGCTCCGATCGCCGACGAACCAAGCAGACCCGAACTCCATTGCCCCGAGCTTCTACTGCGAACTGAAGCTCTCCAGCAACCTCATTCAAACGGTCCAAGGGAAGCAGACTCGACCCGACCATCGAGCGAAGCGTCCTATAGCCACCTAAAGTCCCCACACAAAAACAAAGAGGGCCTTCCCTCTGCTTCTGTTGTAAACATTTGATTTGTTAGTTTGTAATAAGCTTTCTTATAAATACAAACGAAACTCCTTTCTTCGGAAGAATCAAATTTTCACCCTACAGTAAGCTGTCAAAAGCACTGTATGCTAACATATAAATTATTAACAACCAAGTTCGTCTGAAGATTACAAACTAAACCGAAGTTCTTTCAGAGACAAGCACAATAGACCAAACGCAACAAAGGAACCATCTACAGACTCATTGAAGCAGCATTCCTGGTCTGTGATCACACTTTGATGAAGCTCTGCACTATCACTAAAGAAAAATAATAATTCAAGCCCCAGAGACAGCTATTATTAAGGAAGACAAATAGATATTATAAGCATAGATGTGTGGCTTCAATTCACTTATATATTACAACGTCCCTTCTCCATATCTGACTCATGCTTACACCTACACACATTAATAAATATATCCATTTGGAAAATGGCTATCTACCATAATTCGTGCAATTGATGCATTATTGCAAAAGAATTAGCCGCCAGGCGGTTGTTGGGTGGGGCTCCTAGCAAGAAATATCTGCATCTGCTTTTGTATTAAATTTACAAAACTCTTTTTGAGTCGCGGGCTGCTGACAAATGATCCTGCAACATAAGCCATAAACCAAATAAGTATTGTCTGTATCTTAATGATATGAAACATAAGGTTCAGATTTGCATCACTAGTTTTCTCAGCATCAAAAAACTTAGCAAATGGCACACTGGAATTCAATCCAAGTAGGAGCCGATTGCAGGGAATCAATACATTAATTGCCTCATGCCACAGCAAAAATAGACCTTGAGAACTGCACAGAAAAGAGGAGAAAAGACGGGGGAAAAGCACGGACAAACTTAGAGGCTAGAACAATTTAAATTTCTGCCAGTTACATTTTGCAGTAGAATATCAGATGGAGAAAACGGATGACAAAAACACCCCGCCATGAATCAGTCAGGTCTTAACCAACATGGAATCACATACAGAGGATTAGGAGAATATCTTACTCATTTTCTGTTAAGACCAACATGGAATCATTGCTTAGCCAAGCTGTAGGACTGTATGTAATATTGGACTTCTGCATTGACTAGAAAAAGTAGTAGTGTGCTATAAAGTGATTGCAATATAAATATATTTTAACAAAAGGATTTGAAAAAAATCAGATGTACATGAAAATTCAGATTAACATACATAAATTCTTTTGCGTCAGCATCTAACAGTTTCCAAGTATGTTTTGTATATCGATATTTCATGCAAACACAACCCTGACTCATCCGGAAATTTAAAAAAATAAAAGGTAAGATTAGACTCACCAAAACAAAATCAAACGCTTTTGTATCCTCCTTTTTTCTGTTGGTTAGCGCTGCAGCATTACTTTGTACGGGAATGTTCGAAGGTTGAAAAATGTCAGGCAGCGGAGAAGAGTGACCTCCATCAATGACATTCTCAGTAGCATGCCTGTAACGCGTATTTAGGTTACCAAGATTTTGAAAAAGTAACTGTTGGTGAGCAATGAAGGCCCCCATAGCATCGTAGTTCATTGGCTGGTTTGCAAAAGCTGGATTGAACATCATATTTGGTTGCATATACTGAGTCGAAGCCGGGAAAAAAGAATTTGAACCAAGAGTCCCATTCAAAGCACCATTTGTAGGCACCTGGCTTGATTGATTGATCCCACCCATGAAGGGAACGCCAGAATATTCAGGTTGCTTATTACCATGGATGGTATCATTAAGAGACAGGCCAACCATCAAGTCATTCATATTACTCTTATTAGTTTCTGTTTCTTGTAGGAGATCGTAGTTTGAACTAGAAGTGTCAAGTAACCCACATTCTTTACCAACTTGCTTCTCATGCTCTGGTGTCTTATTGTCAACAATTAACCCTAAGAATATGTCATCATTTTGTTTTTCCTCGGTCACATGGAAAGATACATCTGCAAATGGGTTATCTTCATTTTCATTCTCACTGTTGCTTTGCCCTGCAATAGGGCCATCTGCAAATAGATAATCAACCAAAGAACCAGAGGATATAAGATTTTCAATATTTTGGGGAACATGCTCCTCGATTGAAGCTTCAGTTCTATAATCATCGGCATCGCCTGTATCAATTAAGTCAGGCATCTGAACAACCGGGGTTGGAACAGATGTTGCACTAGATGGCTCTGATTGGTTCCCTGTTCCAGGAACCCAGTCTCCATCCAGAAGGCTTAAAACCTAAACATCAACAGTAATTAAATTGACCATCATAATAACTCACTTAAAAAAGAAGAAACAAAAACAAAAAAAAAACAAGCTGCTTCTATTCTTATATAAATTTGATCAGGAAATAAGAGAGAAATACAATAGTAAACAAAGTAACAAGCAAACACAGAAAATTGAACTGTTAACAATGGGAAGTGAACTAGATTTGACAAGGCATGGTGATAAGTTGAAGTGTTTAAATTTCACTCTTTTTTATTTGTTATTATTATTGTTGCTGCCTATGAAGCACGGACACGCATAACATGAAGCCGTGTCGTGTCGTGTCCGTGTCGGACACACGTGTCGAACACACGTATCCTATGTATTTTTTAGGATTTGCCTCGTGTCAGCGTGTCAGATGGCCGTGTCGGATCCGTGTCCGTGCTACATAGGTTGCTGCTGCTGCTGTTATTTTTTAGGTGGCTTTAGAAGTTATAACATTTTTAAAATCTAGAATCTTCTTCAGCATCTTGTTACAAAAGATGCATCATAGGGGCTCACAGAAAGGAACTATTCTTTGGCAAAAAGTAATCACAAGTTATCTTTTACAGGAATAGAGAAGTTTTATATAACATGATTAGGTTTATTTTACCCAATTCTCAAGTATCTAGCTTAAAGGAATCTATAAAGCACGGACACGCATAACATGAAGCCGTGTCGTGTCGTGTCCGTGTCAGACACACGTGTCGAACACACGTATCCTATGTATTTTTCAGGATTTGCCTCGTGTCGGCGTGTCGGATGGCCGTGTCAGATCCGTGTCCGTGCTACATAGAAAGGAATTATTTAATACTTGTTTCAGAAACTAGTTAAAATAAGAAATTGTGTTTGACTAGAAGAAATAGTCGAGAAACCTAAAATATTTAGTCAAAGAGAATATCTTCGGTATCATGAATTCATGACAAAAAGAAATCCTAGGCTTCTCCTTATCTATGGATATCATGAGTTCATGACAGAGAAATCCAGTGCGTTTGTTTATCTAAACGTCTTTCAGAGAATACTTCCAAACTAATGCTTGTTCATTCGAGAAACCAGCTACAATCTTGTCTTGTTTCGTTTTGAGTTGATAAATAATTACTCAGCAAGCACTAGACAATCATACAGATGATTTCGGGGAGAACCAAAGAAAGAACCAAGTTTATGCTCAGCAGTGCCGAGGACAGAAAGGAGACTGCAGTAAGATCTAGACTTCCAAAGGGATCTCCCTTCAGCTGATAACCAGGTGCCATATAATAGTAACTTAAATCTTTTTTTAGTGTGTGAGTATGTGTTTCGAGAAGTAGGGATGGGTGCATAGTTATTCAAAGACTAACTCTTCCTTCTATCTTTATATTCTATTTTAGTAGGCATACAACTTTTTCAAATATAAGGAAATGCAGAGTATGATGTAAAACTAACTTCCATGCTGAAATGATAGTTTAAGATATCAACTCAAGGTAGCAATGATCCATGTTAATGTCAACAAAATATGGCATGGAACCATGTGTAAACATGACAATTCATAGGTTTATGCAGAAGCAGAAATGTACACCTGTGCAATAAATGTCTGCTTGACCAAACTTTATGCATTGTTCAACATAATAAATTTGCGCTTTCAAAAAAAAAGAAAGATTTTTAATTGGTATTATCCTAGAGCTGTGACCTCAACTGGCCTTCCCCGTGTTCATGCCTTAATTGCTCATAGAGAAATCTTATCATTTACCTTCTCTTATTTCCTTAGAGTAGGAGAAACTTGTTTACTATTCACTGTTTGTACGGTGCATAAGAGCAAAGAGCATCCTTCCACATAGAAAGGACCCTATGATGCAGGACAATCATGGACCCTCCATGTAATGCGATTAGGATTTATTAGAATCTTTTCGTTTTTGGTAGGAGTTTATTTTATTCTATGTAATCTTCTTTTTAGTTAGGATTTCTTTAGGACTTGATGTTGAAATCTCTTTCTATTTTAGCTAGGATTTTATTTGATTGTATCTTTTAGTTTTGTTGGGTTTTGATTTGATTAGGATTTTTATTTACTTCATTAAGTGCTCAGTTGCTTTCTTATCCTATAAATAAGAGATGTACTCCTCCATGAGAGATAGATAATGATGAATAAAAAAAAATTAAGTTTGATCTTGAGCATGTGAGTTGCTCTTCCGCATGTGATTTGCTTTTTATTGGGGTGTGAAGCCCATGAGTGTGATGCCCGTAGGTGTGAGACCTAGCTATTTATCTAAAATTTATCCACTTTTAATCCTAGCCATCCGATCTCAACCACAAGTAAAAAAAAAGTACTGTTCATGGATGAACAGTGTCCACCGCAACCTTGAGATCCGACACCATTCGCCTCTGATGATGCCACAATCCTTCGAATCCGATCGCGTATGCCAATAACGACCCATGCTTGTATCACCATCATCGATTCTCCTCCAATCGTTCCTTAATGAGTTATGATCTGTCGCCGCCAAGGTCTTACAACACGGCTCTAGAAAGTTATCGACGACTGAAAAATTTATTATCCCCCCTCCAGATCACGTTTAGATTCAAACACCAACCAAAATTCACAGTATCGAGAATCTCTTGCTTTCCAATCGGATCCGGACTAGCGCCGAAGGAAACACATTCGAGAGCCATCTACTTTCGGATCGGAGCCCCTGCCTTAAACCAATCATTTGGTATCATCAGAGCCAAAGGATCCATAGTTGTCAAGGGTAAAATAGCGCTATCTCCTTCACCAAGTATTTGGTACCCTAGCTTACTTTTATGGATTTGAGGAGCTTTATGAATTTGACGTCTGAATTTTCAATATAGAAGATATATTTTCTAGTTATGATACGTCAGAATTGAAAATGTATTTCTATGCTGAGTGTAGGCTGAAGAGAGAGGCAAAACATTAGTGGTATAGAAACTATTATCATTCAAACATCTGTTCGTGAACAACTATCAAAGATCTTTTGGAGAAGAGGTACTCTAGTCCACCATCTAGAAGATTTTGTTTCTCTTCAAATTCTAAAGCAAAGCCAACACAAATTTCTCAACTCCGGTCAAATGTGGATCTTCAATCAAAATTTAATTTCAATCTAGATCTGAAACCTCAACTTGAGTCAGACGAGAGATACAAAAATTAATCAAGAACCAAACCCCGAGTCTGAGCGTCACCCAGAATCAGATGTAGATCAAAAGATTAATACAGAGTGCAAGCCTAAACTACAGCCGCAAGAAGCAAATCAAAAGATAGATCCAGAGCCCAAGCTTAAACAAGAGTTGGAACAAAAAACAAGGCAGTAGGTCAATCTAACACTCAAGCTTGAATCGAACCCAGAGCTCAAGAAAAGCCTAGAATTTGAACTTAAGTTCGATATGCGGTGCAAATTTCAAAAGAATCTGATTATTGAGTTCATTATTCCAAACCCTCCATCAACAACTCAATATCGGGTTTTAAAGCTCTTCTTTAAGATCTTGCAATCTACAATAGAATTCTTCTCACTAATCAAGTCAAACATTACGCTCTCTGATTATAAAATTCGGAGTCGAGTTTTCTCAAACACAGAGAGATTTGATGCAGTACAATCGTGGACATGTAATGCGATTAGGATTTATTAGAATCTTTTCTTTTTTGGTAAGATTTTATTTTACTTTATGTAATCTTCTTTTTAGTTAGGATTTCTTTAGGATTTGATTTTAAAATCTCTTTCTATTTAGCTAGAATTTTATTTGATTGCATCTTTTAGTTTTGTTACGTTTTGATTTACTTAGGATTTTTATTTACTTTCTTTAGTGTTTAGTTGCTTTCTTATCCTATAAATAAGAGATGTAATTTTCCATGAGAGATAGACATTGATGAATAAAAAAATTGAGTTTGAGAATTCTCTATTGAGCATGTGAGGTGTGTTTTTTGGCATGTGATTTGCCTTTTATTGGGATATGAAGCTCCTAGGTGTAAGGCCTAACTAATTATCTAAAATCTCTTTACTTTCAATCCTAGTCATCCTATCTCAACCGCAAGTCACAAAAAAAAAGTTCCTGTTCACGGATGAACAATATCTGCCACAACATTGAGATCCGAAAACATTCGCATTTGATGATGCCACAATCCTTCGAATCCTATTGCGTATCTCAACGACGACCATTGCTTGAATATCACCATTGCCGACTCTCTTTCAATTGTCCCTTAATGAGTTATAATCCCTTGCCGCCAATGTCTTACAATACAGCTCTGAAAAGTTATCGTCGACCGAAAAATCTATTGTCTCCCCCTTTCAGATCACGTTCAAATTCGAGCACCCACCAAAATTCACAGTATCGAGAATTTCGTGCTTTTCTAGCGGATCTGGGTTGGCGAAGGCAACACATCCGGGAACCATCTACTTTCGGATTGGAGCTCCCGCCCTGACCCCCATCAACTAGTCCGTAGCTTTTGTTACCTAGGAATTAATTACTGAGGATTTGACATGTTAACAGCCCATCATAAAAATTTTCTTCTAATATGGAGGAACAATCTATATACGAGAAAATTTTTAAGTGAGAAAAGTCAGTTGATGATGAATTGAGACACTCTAGGAATGATACTATTACATGAAATGTCAGAGAGATGTTAATACACTTCTCATGACTTGATATCTATTAGAGTATCATGGAACTTCCATGATATGATTTGACCGCCTGAACTCTGGATATGTCAAAAAGTCAAAATTGAATTTGTTTATCAGCAATGTTCAACTAAAAAGTTCTATAATGACACTGACATCAACAACCTCTTCAACTAACAAGAAAGTTAACCCACCGCAGGGTATCCTAGTGGTCTGGGACGCAGTTCTGTTCCTGCCACAATGCCCAGGTCCTTGGGTCAAATCCTCACACTAAACTAAGGTATAGGCAGAATTAAGGTCGGATCCACTCTCCACGGGGTTTTACAGCTGGGATGGGGCTTGAAGTCGGGTTTGCTCCCTTGATCTCGTGTTCTCTGACCAGTTGGGTCTGTCGTTACCAAGAACAAAAAAAGGAAATAAAAGTTTTAGTTGATCCTTTGGTTTTTATTTTATCAGGAATCTGATGTACATCATTACTTCTTTTCCCCAATCAATATACAAGATGGATCGAACCTTGAACCCTGACATTTGTTAAATTTTAGAGCATTAAATATGTGAATCATATTGTACTCACCTGTTTTAAAATCTTGCACATATAAAATGGCCTAAGAAAATAGTAAGATACAAGTATATTTATATGGAAGTAGGTAGGACACAAAAGAAAAACACTTTCATATGCTGAGTAACGAAAAATAAGATGTCCTGCAGGGGGTAGAATAACTCAGACTAGCATTAAAACAACAAACAGATTACTTACCTTGCTTGCCTTTTCCCTCAGAGAAACTTGGGGTATCTCAGAGCATTTAACCAAAGGATCTCTGTTTTCACCAAAATAAGATGCTACAATGGAAAAATGTTCATCATCCTTTTTCCTTAAAATTGATTCCAAGACACAACATGCCTTCATGCGGACCTAGCAAACCCAAACATATTATTTGTTTAGGTACCAGAGATTGTTAGAAATGAAACGAAAGAAAATCAATAGAACTTAAATTAGAGGCAAGCTGTAAAATAATTGTGATACTTTTTCGTTCAATGAAAATAAGTATGACTAACAATATGAACGACTTGCATTTTTTCCTTCTTTTTTCAGTAGTTTGGTACCTTGCTATTCCCAGCCAACGCACACGAGCAAAGAGCCACACAAACATAATCGTTTGGTTTTGCATGATAATGGAAATAGGAGTGAGCTGGTAATAGTATCCCTTTCATTAAAGTGAGCACGTGGGAGCCACTTCCTATGTATTCTAATTTGAAAAGCAATTGTCGATTACCCTTTTATAAAGGTAACAAAGGATTTAAAAAAATAATAATGTAGAAGACAATGGAGAGCCTGTGAGAGCCAAGTCTAGCAGAGAACAAAAGTTAGGGACATAAGATTGTTTGTTATTGTTTGTTCAGTGGAAAAAAGAACAGTTAGGGTTTCTTCTTCTTTTGTTTTGGTAAGCAAATATTGTTTGAGAATTAGAGTGTCGTCATTTTTGTAACCTTTATTCTCTACTTTGTACTTGATTTCGATAGTGAACCTTTCCTCTCCTCCGTGTCATAGAGTTGAACCATGTAAAATCTGTGTCTTGCGATGTGCTTTTATTTCAATTTTTCCGCTGCACTCATTTCATCAATCTAATCACAACATGTTGTCACACAAAGGACAATGAAATCCAGAATATTGTAGTAGAGGAGCAGTTTGCTTGTGTAACAAAGTCTTTATTTTATTATTTATTATCGGCTAAATTACTAAACTGGTATCAAAAGTAGTACCCAATGACCAGATTGGTATTAAAATTATCTCCGGCGATAACAAGGTATTTCAACTTACACGATGAAACAAACAGACCCAAAATTGAATTTTCCGGTCAACTTTTCCGGCGACCACTCATGTAATTTGTCACAAGATGCTTATGCGACATATTTATGATAACATGGCAACTGTTGTTAGCCTAATTCAAATCATTAGAGGGGTTCTTTAATTTGGGAGCTTCTTCTCCTTCTATCAAATTAGGGTTCTCCATTGCTTGAGAACATGGATTGGTTGAGCTCAAGTAATGAAGAATCACCAATTTGAAGGAAGAAGTCCCAAATTTGAAAAAATCCATCTTTTTTTATTCTAATTTGAAAATCACTCCTAATGGGTTGAACGAGGATAACTACAGTTGTCACGTTATCATACACATGTCACCTAAGCACATGTGGCAGATTATCTGAGTGCTTGCCAGAAAAATGGTCAAAAAATATATTTTTGGGCATATTTGTTTTATCGTGCAAGTTTAAATACATTGTTGTCGCCGAAGATAATTTTAATACATTGTTGGTCATAGGGTACTTCTTTTAATGCTAATCTGGTAATTTAGCCATTTATTATCTAACTAGTTTCACTTATGACATGTTTTCAAGTGCATCGTACGAGCAAAATAGGTAGTGATATCTATGTTGAATAAACCTGAGGGAATTGTAAAGTATAATCAAATTTAGAATTCATCTACAACTGATAAAAAAATTATATTTCTACTTAATAGATATTATTCAAGCTTAAGAATTCGGAATAACAACGCATGATTATCTTACAAATATCTAATCCTTCCAAGTGGAGTCGGGACTCTAATTTTCAATGTAATGAAAAGAACACCATAGAGTTATATCATTGACATTTTGAATTTTTTAATTCTTTTAGGAAAAGAATAATATATCTGAACATTCAGTCACGTTCTAGTATCCTTTTACACTCCATTTGATCTTTTTAATTCCCTACTGTTAAGTTCTTATTTTTATCATTTTGTCCTCCTCTGCTTCAATTATCTGGCAAAACACATCTCAATAACAAAGTTTTAAGGAACATACTTTTGTACTTTTGGGGCTATTTGGTTCACTAAAATGGGCCAAGAAACCCAATTCCCACTCTAACAACCTAGTCTACATAAGCATTTTTGAGTTTGGGATTTTCTTTTCTTTGGTTTGGTTCACAGTAGTAAAAATGAGAAATAGGCTCAGTTTTGGTCCTCCAAGTCATCAAACGGGAAACACCCATTTCCACTCGTTTTGAGCTGAAGTGGGATGAAACCCATTACAATTCTGACAACACTCCATCTCTTCGCTCGGGTTGATTTTTTTGGAAAAAAAAGGGCAACACTAGAGTTTCCTCCTTTCTTCTTCCAGCCTCCATCTCTCTAACCATGATTTATTATCGCCAAATCTAATAACCCCTCTTCTCATTTGTGTTTGTGATGGAGATTTATGAAAGGCTTGTGGGATCAAAGTCGAAAACTGGGGATCTTGTGCTCTTTGATCTTTTCTTGGCTAATTTGTCTATGTAGATTGAAATTTGCTCTAAAAGTTTGGTTTTGTGATTGATCTAGTAAAAAACAAATTTCCTTGAAATTGGGGATTTCTTTGAATTTGGGGATTTCTCTGAAAATGGCTTGCAGCTTTGTTGGATCTGTCTTGACTTAGGGGTCTGCAAACTCACGTACTCAATTTTGTTCATTTCATTCTAAAATTCTTTTTAGATATTTCAGTTTGTTTGATTGGTCTTGATTAATTACTTTTCAGATATTTCTTTTGGTAAGATTACCACCCACAACGGTCACAAATAAACTTGTCTTTAGTGAGAGGTAAATTTACCATGATCACCATATATATTTTCCCCTACAAACTTCATTACCAATCAAACACAAGAAAAGTGAGAAAAGTCTAATCAACCAAAAGTTTTCCCATTCTTTACATACCAACCTAACAAAGGAAAAATGTGAAATTTGTTTCCCACCATGTTTTATGTGTGAACCAAATACCAACAATCAATTTCATGAAAAACTTTGGAAAACCCAAAAAATGGGTTTATCACATGGAATGATGTTTCTCAATGGGAAATGAACCAAACAACCCCTTAAAGCCATTCCTCCTACGACATTGTTTTAGAAATATTAAATAACCTACCCTACAATACTAATTATTCTTAACCCTAAAATGTACAGCATCACAAATCATACACACCCAAAAGCCCAAAATAACGGATTATCTATTGTCAATGTCCCTACCAAAAGCTTATGCATACACTCTTCCTGCCCATCTCCTTCTCTCCATACATAAAGGATACCTGGAAAGCTAAGAAACTAATGACCTTATGGAGTTCGAATTTACTGATGATGCTTCATAAACAATAGATTTTAGAAATGACCGAGCAATTACATTTGACCATGAGTTTCATCTTGGATGTCACTGACTCTAAACTTTATTAGTAAAAAAAAATTAAACAAAAATATAAGGACACATGTTTTATGACATACAGAAACAATGAGATACATACGATTTCCAACTTATAAAATATTTTTACCCAAATTTATTCAAACCAGATAAATCTTCACATCCCTGTTATACTTTGGAGTGCACAATATTCAAATATTTGTAGAATTCATCAACGATGTTGGACAAGGAGAGCATACCTGCCACAGGGGAGATTGGAGTTTCACCTCAAGCGCATGACTCAGAGGCAATGGATCAAGTTTCAATGCCTCCAACAGAAAAACCTGGATAGCATCACGTGTGGGCTGCAAACGCACGCCCCCCGAAGTAACTATAGTTTCCAAAAGCCTCTCCTCACAACTCTTAATCCCTGTATGACTTGGAGCAACATCTTCATTAGCTGTTGTACTTGCCACTGTTCTCAAATCTTGGCCATACTTTCTCGATGCTTCATTTCTAGGACCTGAAGAGGAAAAGTTTCCACTGAGGTAATTACCTCCTTCATATCTATCTCGACCACCTATTTCTGCAGTTAGAGATCTTTGTAAGTTCGGGCTCTTGTAACACCCAATCCCACTGTCATTTTTCCTCATGGAATTAGCAGCAGCAATGGTGCTCAGACCAACGCCCACCACTTCACTGAGAAAAGACTTCTTCTCTTCGGTAGGCATTTCATAGTTTGTATTGCCAAAACCCTGGATGCGTTTCTGAAAATCTTCTGTCGGCGCCATTGCTGCGTTGTCATTGTTAGCAAATATAGCTGATACAGCCTCATGAGCTGTTTCTCGAACAGATTTATTGAGGGCATCCCCTTTAAGGGGATCTGGATGGCCCTTGTAATGAAATAACTGGCGCATCACAGCTGAATGACGTTGCATTTCCCTTCGAAATTCTGTCCCAGACTTTCCCACAGAATACTTGATCAACCGTAATGCCTATGAAAAATACAAATATAGAGTTAAAAATTCCATTTCACATACATTACAGCTTGGACGAAACATTTACATTTTCTGATAATTCATCCTACTATGAAAGGTAATGTCCGCAAATAACTATGGTGCACCAGAAGATAAACGGAGTGTGGAGAGCTTTTCTTCATTCCAAAATGAGTTCTACACAAGAATACTAGCTGAGCTGACAAATGATAGATGATAATGACTCATATTACAATCAGCATATACTTTTTTTCTCATGCAATTTTTAACCTTCAGAGCAGATTGTAAAAGAATTTCCAGTTCAAAACTAAACAAGTCATGTGTATTGTGTATCAAATCATACGCTTGAAGTAAAGAGCTATACTTTTCTCTAAGCTGATAATGATATCAACTACAAATATTATAGGTAACAAATTCTTACTCCAACTCCAGCCACATAGGTATATGCAAGGTTTTAAATATCGGATATCGGGGAAATAACAGATGGCCAAAATTCATATTCATATCGGATTGCGGACATCGGGGAAATATCAGGGATATGTGGTAAATATCGGAATGCCATAATGAATGTTTGCATACATAGTATAATGCATTAAAATGTAATTTTAACATATGTAATAAAATTTAAGCATACAAAATATGAATAATATATGTTTAGGATCACTAATCAACCTTCTAAAACAAACAAAAGTGCAAAGCAACGTTACAAGATTCGATCTGCTTCTTTTAGGACAAAATGTCATTTGATATAATGGGGAAATCTTGATATCTCGCCCAAAAATTCCAAACACGGTATATTATTTTGCAACAAGCTATATAAAAAGATATATTGGTCCACATATCGGCTAATATATCGGTCATATCGGGGATTTATCATTCAAAATAGCCAAAAAGCAGTAAAGAATATTTAAAGACCATATCGGTTGGGGCAAGCCCTGTAAAAGGATATATCGGGGCCATGTCGGGGATATTTAAAACAATGAGTATATGAGTGTGGCAAATCAAGGGGTTCAGAAGCTAGTGGCTCGATTTTATAGGCCATACATAGTCTTAGCTAAGGTGAGGCAAGCTACTTACCAGTTATAGCTTCCACCAAGATCTAAAATTCACCTGTGTTTCATACTGCTCAACGGAAGTCTTGTTTTGGACATAGCCCAGGAGTATCTCAAGAGATACCCACCTATTGGGTCTTTGATAAGCATGTTCTCCAAGGAATCTTGGACCAACAACTCAAGCAAGTGGGAAGGGAGTAGTCTACAAATTGGTAAAATGGAAGGGAAGAGATGAGAGCAAAGCTACATGGGAGAAGTAGTACTCTTTCATAAAGAAGTTTCCTTCATTTGACCTCGAGGATGAACCCAATGTAGAGGGGAGGAATTGTCAGGTTACTACTAATACAGTCTAAGTTCATCAAGCCTAATTAGCCTATACGATAAACAATGCTACTGGATGGATGTCATGCTTTGTACCCTAGGAGGCCCATTAAGAGAAATCCTCTATCATACTGATTGAATCATTAGGTATTGGAGAGTGTAGCAATGTTACAGAGAACAATGGCAGGGTAGTAGAGGCGTTGCCGCAATAGAGCTAGCTGTTATATACGACTCGCAATTGAAGGCAAGCAGCTCTACAATGACCGATGAAAGTGACAACACGTCAAGCATGCAGGTAAAAACAAAAGGCAGCAGCAACATGAAGGTGAGTAATCAAACCAGCCAGTCTAACCGCCAACAGATTTTTTCCTACATGGTTTTAGAGTCCTTATTGGATCAGGTTTCCTGTTGCAGTTAGAATTCTTTTCTGACTAAAATACATAGTTTCTTGGGGCCCAAGACTTCTACCCTACAAAAAAGGGTGTTCTCTCATATCCCGCGTTCGAGAGAGGGGTTGAGAGGAAAGGGGGCCATAATAAATAGATCAAAGGCCAAGCCAGATCAAGAAGATGAAGAAGAAAAAAAGGAGATTGCTCGTCTAAGGATTTACAAGTGAAAAGTTATATTTTTGTGAGGATTTATAATAAGCCGGATGAACTACTCTTGTGAGAGATCAATGAGGAAAACAATCATGTATCTTCTTCTTCAACTTAATAAACTATACTCTCCCTTCTCCTATGGACGTGGGCACATTACTCCCTCTACATTGTGTTTATTTTGTGTTCCATTAGATATTCTCAAAAGAATCTTCTTGTGTTTATTTTGTGTTGTTCTTATTATTTCATCATAAGGTTAATAGTATTCCTTGAAACTCTAAAGTCAAAGTCTTTGTTCGAGATCTAAAGGTATCCAGTTCCTTACACTAGCTAGAGTAGCAAAGCTAAGGAATCAACTGTCAACACGTGACAAAAGCAATTGTGTTCTTTTGTTTTTCTCGCTCACTAGAGCATGCAATATGCTAATAACAAATGAAATGCAATGAAGGGATTATACATGAATATAAACTCATATTATCCCTCTAAAACACTTCTTCCTCCTCTATCTTATTCCCTCCCTCCCTCCCTCCCCCGCCCTCTCTCTCTCTCTCTCTCTCTATATATATATATATATTATATATATATATATATATATATATATGAGGAATATGGGTATGCTTGGTACCAAGCACAAAATTTGTGCTGGTAGTAGTGGCTGGCTATTTATCTTCCACTCATTCAAGTGGGGACCACATTTACATGGGTTGTAATGTGGTCCCCCCATTGAATGAGTAGATGTGAGATACCTCACTACCAAGCACAAAATTTGTGCTTGATACCAAGCATACTCAGTTTCTCTCTCTCTCTCTCTCTCTATATATAATATATATATATATATATATATATATATATATATATATATATATATTTCTGTACTCATTAAGTGTGTCCCCTTGTAAAATATTTTGGATAATAAAGATTATATTTTGAGAATCGGCCGACGAACTCTGTAAGTTACTTTTTTCTTTCTGTTTTTGTTTCCGCTTACTTTTGGTATCAGAGCCATGTTCAACTATTTCATGTCTGCTTAAGTTTGATCTTACAGTTTATCTTTTTGATTGTTTGTTTCTAAGTATGTAAAATTTATATATGTTTTTTTCATTCTCTGCTTAAGAACTTAGTTTGCATGCTTATGAGACGTCATCTAAGTCGCACAGTGTAAAGCCCGTTGTTGTCGGGATGGCTGTTGAGGATAGTGTAAGTCGTTGACAAACGTGTAAGCTTTCTGCTAGGTTGTTTCGTAGAGAATAAAAAAAATGTAAATTCAGCATCCTTAGAGGTTTAAATAATCAAAAGATAAACTTGAAAGAAAAAACATGACATACATTGGCGAGAGTAGTTCGGCTTGTAAATCCAGTTATACTAGAATGAAAAAAGTTAAAAATGCTCAGTTAACTGAATATGAAACTGATATTGAATCACTTAATAAATGGACTATACCCGATGTTCCTAATAGAGACATCTATAAAATTACCTTTTTAGACTATAAATCCTTAATTAATATCAAGATCCTAGAACGGACTACTACAGTCGATAGGGATGAAGAGACAATTCAATTGCTAGGAATTACAGATGTAAATTCATATTTGGATAAGTATAAGTACCTACATATAGGTTTAATACAAATTGCCTTTAGGCCTTTGACTTTATCTAGTCTTAATGCATCTTTATTAGTCTGCCTTAGAGATTCAAGACGCTTAAATTGGACCCAATCTTTAATGGGTATAATGGAAACCAGTCTTTGTAATGAACCCGTATATTTTAATGTTTATCCAAATTTAAGTCTATCTCTGACTCGTCCGAATATACTCGAATCAACAAGTCTTAATATTAAGACTCATGGTTATAATTTTATACCTGGATCTGAAATGAATGCTACTATTTATAGGATCCATTATAAAGTATTAAATACTTTAGCCCCTAAGGCTAAGATACAGTCTAAACCAGGTAAAACAGTCCTGGTAGAAACTAATGTTCTATCTTCTAATATTGCTGTTAATAAACATATAAAATAGGATGAATGAATTTCCCAGAAAATTAGGTTATACCTAATGCTGTACAACCTTTACCTATTGTCAATCAAGATATTGATCAAATTATACAAACTACAGATGGAGAAGTTAAAATAACATTTAATCCATCTAGAACAATCAGAATATCTGATGCGACTACATCAGCCAGAAACTCTTTATCAAGATCTGGATTTATAGAACCAGTTCTGTTCAAGGAGTAAATATCTCCGAAAATAATATTCCTCATCCTTTATATAAGGATAAACTTTCTCCTCCTAATACGGAGATGAGCTTTCGTATGAAATAAATTTTGAAAAAGGTAGTAAAGAAAGGAAAATTCTAAATAAAGAATTTTACCTAGAAAAACATAGCAATTTTAGAAAATGGTTTTTTTTTTTAAAAAAATTCTAAAAGAAACCCGTTAAACTGGATAGATGAATACTATTCAGTATTAAGGTTAAAATAAGAATTTAAATCTTTTGTACCTTGGTTCTTAAAAAAATATATTCAAAAACAAGAAACTCAAATAGGAGTTGTAGAAGAACACTTAAAACAATGGAAAACTACTACATGAAAAATCATTAGATCGATAAATCCGCTACATAGTTTAAAGCACCTAAAAATCTTTGTAATAGTTTAAAGCACCAAAAAATCTTTGTAACTGTTTAGTATCAGTTATTTCATCAGGAAATTTTGATGCAAACTCAATGTTACGATCAATAGGAATTATAGTTCTCTTTTCTATATTATGACCTAAAAATCTAATCTGAGTTTGAAATAATTTTATTTTTGGGACAGATATAGCTAACCCATTTTTGATAGCCAAATTCCTAAAAATTTCTAAGTGTTTGATGTGTTGGTCAAAGCTATAAGAAAAGATAAGGATATCATCTATATATGATAATATAAAATCCGTATAAGGAATAAAAATTTTATTCATAATATTTTGAAATTCAGAAGGGGCGTTTTTAAGTCCAAATGACATAACATTCCATTCATAGTGTCCAAATGGGACTACA